GGGCGACTGACTTAAAAAGTTATTATTTCGGACCCTATAGAAAAATAAATGCCTTAGGAGCCAATATTTCCTTCAACAATTTTTTTTAAAGGAAATAATGGCTCCTTCGGGGTCTATTTTCTATAGGGTCCTCAGAACTTGACTATAATTACATAATAGTGCCGATAAAGTAACAGTCCAGTGTGATGTTTGCATGTGTTTACAGTAGTTGTTTTTTTTTTCTTTCATGTTTATGCCAGATCTGAGCAAGCTTAATTCAAACACGTTAAGTGTATAGGACTAAAATCGTTTAGTTCATCTGTAATTCATTTACATAATTAATATATTCTCAAGATACTTTAACATGTTGGCGATCGAGTAATGGGTTGAAAATATATGAGCAGGGAAATTGATGAAAATTTTAAAAAATATTTATTATTTTTTTATTAATCCAGATTTTTGCAATTTGCAATAGGTCTATCATTTGTGTGTTTCATCCCTCCTTAAAATGGTAAATGCAAGATTGTTTATCAATTGTCCGGAGTCTCAAGTAGAACATTCATCTATTATGCTATCCATAAATAATGTCTGTACCATAAATTAAAATATAAGTGGGATGTTAATTTGTTTTCATGAATAATATCATCAATTATAAATTTATCAGATCCGATCTTGTTAAGAAATTTACATACAAGAAATTTATTATTTTCATGAGGGCATAAAGGTCTGAGTATTAAATCTTGCTTTAAAATTTTGAGCCTAATTTACTTCTCTGGTTTTTGTTTTTAAAATAAGTCGTAAGTTGGATATTTAAAATTTAAATAAGAATCATGAGATGATTTACTGACTACTGTGATTAGTCGAATTAAATTAGCATTGCTTTGATTGTTTTCTGTTTAAATAACCCGTGTTATATTACCGGTGGTATAAGCAAAGGATTCATGCAACAAATATTGTTGTACATTTCTTATTTAAATTGTCTCCATCTGAAATTATATTTGGATTTTTTTTTTGTAAAAACAATATTAAAATTACTGAATCTATGGTATATACCGTAATCTTCCAAGAGAAAATTATGGAATGGAGAGAGGGCGCTAGAGAATAAACTGATAGGACGTCAAACATTTACGCATGCGTACTTTGAAACCGTTCCGTAGCAACGAAGAAGAGAGAAAAGAAAACATGGTAAAAGAATAGATTTTTCTTAATTTATCATTATATGAATACTCCAAATCTGGTATATAACCTTTTGAAATTTATATTTAGTTATTATATTGCGGTAAAAGTGTATGATTATAACTGATACTGAACGAAATAGCTGATATTTCTGGAGTGTAGCGCTACACCCACTTTTTTGCGGTTGACACAGCCTGTTCCATAGCCTGCTAGCTTGGCGGTGGTGGTTGCAAGAGCTAGACTGGGCCCTAGGCCTAGGCCTACCCTAGCAAATCATAATTTCCCATCAACATAGTCACAGGTCTAGGCCCCTATCTACTCAATTAATTTATACAATTATTTTCTATCCTTTAGACTATGGACTAAGCTGGTTCTTGTTTGAGAAAGGCCTAACCTAGCTAGCCCTAGGATAGTTGTTAGGCTAAAAAAACTTTTTGATTTAGGCCTAGGCTAGCTAGCAGGCCTACTGTACTGTAGGCTATAAAAACCACATCATCATAGTTACCAAGCGTCCCGCATCGTGTGGGACATTTTCGCATCTCAAAGTGATTTTGGATGAAACTCGAATTTAGCAGAAACATATGCGTGATCATAAATTTATCATGCATTTAGAACAAGTCTTTGCGTAATAATAACAAATTAATATCACAATTTCAGAGGAAAATGTACAGTATTAAAAATTATTGTAAATTGCTCTGATGTGTTAGTAAAAAATGATCATTAATAACAGTATGTGCTTATTAATTTTTTGTTTGAGTAATGGCATGTTTGAGCCAGAATGATCCATTTGTCATTATTGCTGTTAAAATTTCATTTATGCATGAACCAAAATAACATCAGTAGGGCCTAATTACCTGGACGTTTTGATCACCATCCACGATCTTTTTCAACTGTCGTTATTAGTGTGGAATTTTTCTCAATTTAGTCACTTTTGTTTGTACAAATAAAACTGCAAGGTAGTCGTGTATATTAATAAATATTGTTAAGGAATACAAAAATTATTACTACAAGATTTTTATTATTGTCCAATATTTATTATTAGTCAAAAACAATTATTTTATATTTGATTTATTTAGGCCTACATAATGCACACAATAAACAATTAATTTAATTTAATTAACACAAAAATATCTTTCCTAACACCAACCGCCTTCAACAAATTTTAATTAGATATCAATACCAATACACATCTGTAATTTGTGAACCCACTAAACACCAGTGGTCTGAAATTGCTAGTAAATGGTGCGATGGTGCTCATTTTTTCTGACTTGTATTATACTGTATTGCTTTCTTATGTACAGTAGTAGCATTCTTCAACCAAGGCATTAACATACTGTATCAGTATATATTTTGTGTTTTACTTACATTTAATATTCATTATTTTAAATTGTACTTGGCAATGTGTGTGAAACTCACAAACAATTTCCATTTTTATACTTGTATCTTTTTATGGACAAGTCAATGAATCTTGAATTATGCTTTAAGACCAGCACTTTTTTTTTTTTAGCTCCGATAAGGAGCTTTAGGATTACCCGGCTAATTGATTACTACATCTTTTTTGTGCTGCTTGCTTTAATAATATATTTTTTGTATAGGCGACCGTTCGGGCCAATATACTTATAGTGCCTCTATTATAATTGCCCTCATCAGAGCTTTCAAGATTTATTAGTTTTAGAGGATTCTGAACACTGATACATCAGTATATATCACATCCGATGTTGATAGACTAATTGATTAATTAATTTTTGCTGTACTCTACAAATATTTTGTCAGTGTCACTCCAAGTTATAATCCCACATATGTTTCATGACTGATCTGAGTTTTGTTACGATGTTTAAAGTAGTAATTGCTCATCACTAATGGATAGGGCCTCTGCATACATGCCAAGTTTGAGAGAAGTACTGGCTTGAGATTTTGCCCCAGAAGGGACTCTAATATCCGTGGGTCCAGGGCCTGAATAGGGGCTGGAAATTTTTTTAGTCTGGCGCAGGATGGCTTGAGGTGGGATCACAAACTTTGAGTCCCCCACCAGATGCAGGAGATTTGGTAAGTATATAATGCCTCTGTGATGTGGATATTACAAAAGGTAGTGAGTGCCAATCTTAAACCTGATGCATCTTTACTCGGACACGATGGAACCAAGCTTGCCAACTTTTACCTTGCACACGTCATGTGTAAATCCCTGTCCAGACTATAAAGTTTTGTGTGACATACCTAAATATGGTCTGAATATGCCTAAATATGGTCTGAATATGCCTAAATATGGTCTACAGTAAATATGCCTAAATACGGTCATAATGAAATATTAACTTTTTTTCCATATTTCTGCTCTTTTCTTGTACCTTAGTCTGAAGTTGAAGAAATCCTGAAGAGAATTCAGTCACACAAAGGTGTAATTGGCATTATTATTGTCAATCAAGAAGGTAAGACAGAAACCTATCAAGTTCTTGGAAATTTTAATAAATTGTGACTACCTGTAGGTCACAAGTACATAATGTCTTCAAGATCAACCCTGGTACACACTCTTTACGACGGTCGTACAACCGTTGCTAATTTTGCAATTAAAAGCAACCCTCAAGTAATTTTCAAACGGATTTTAAGGTGTTTGATTATTAATATATTTTTTATACTGTAAAACCAGAAAATTTCGCGGCACGAAACTTTTTGTGAATTGATAATTTCAGCCGTTTTCGCGACATTAAACTTTTGCGAATCGCAATAGGCCTAAATTTTATTCATGAGAGGAATACCATACAATAGCTGAAAATATCGTTTCGTGAGTTCTAGGCCTAGGTAAGATAGGCCTACAGCCACTGTCTAGGCTAAGCTAGGCCTAGGCTAGGCGTCTTAAGCCTGCAGCCCTCAGCTGGAGGATCAGGACTTAGCTGGCCATCCAGCACAGTTAGGAGAGAGACAAGTTTACACACATACAGTACTCACTCATACATACGATATTCCTAAATGGTATTTAATCATCCTACAATGAACAATGTTTATCAAAACATGTGTTTTATTAACAGATTATATTCTTACACATTGATTGATGATAACTGAACATCGTGGTATGTCATGGTGTATGAAAATTTAGTTTTTATTTCAACTTCTTAGTATACACTGCAGAGTGGTTGCACAAGTATACTTACTGAGTAGGTTAGGATAGGCCTAGAATTTACGAATTTTTCAAGCTCAGCATCAGAAGCTAAGGTCAGAATATTGATTCAATAATTGAAATACTGTACATTCTATTAAAAAAAAGTTTATACACATTTAATAAAATTCACCAAAATAATTAAAAATACAATTTTTAAAATGCTGAAGTTGTTAACTATTCACAAACATGTTGCAATTTGTGGGGATTCCCCATTTAGACCTTGGCCTTATTGCATCGTCGTCGGCGAGTTTAGGCCTTGAAATACCAACAATTCTTGCTGTTTGAATTAATTTTTAGTGTAATTTAGTGATTTATAATGACCAAAACCTCGTTTCTGAAACTGATTCGACATTCACGGTGATCAGATAGTACTCTACCAATCTTTTTTGAAACATAGAAAATGTGACCTGAAAATTATTCGTAGTATAAAACTTCCCGAAATTCGCGAAGGTTAAATGCGCGCGAAATTTCCTGGTTTTACAGTAGTCTACTTTTATTTTTTTTATGTTTTTTGTACAACTCATATTACATATTGTAATATCTAAGTAAATTTTAAAAATTTCTAATAAGCTAAATTCTATTGTTTTTGCCATTCTTATAAATTAAAATAGAAAAATTCTCTCTTTCGACAGAACATGTTGTAACGAATTCATAATTTTTTTTTAATTTTAAAAACTCTTAACAAAAAATTTGAATAATTGCTCATTTTTAAATCAATTTTCCATAAGACACAAATATTAGCATTTTTTTTTTTTTTTTGCTGATTAAAACACTTTATAGTTATTTTTTTGATTTAATTAATTACCTTATTCTTTGCAATATGCAAAGAATAACACATTTAATGCAGATAGATCAGTTACTGTCTCTTATACACATCTAGATGTGTATAAGAGACAGGAATAGGGGCTGGAAATTTTTTTAGTCTGGCGCAGGATGGCTTGAGGTGGGATCACAAACTTTGAGTCCCCCACCAGATGCAGGAGATTTGGTAAGTATATAATGCCTCTGTGATGTGGATATTACAAAAGGTAGTGAGTGCCAATCTTAAACCTGATGCATCTTTACTCGGACACGATGGAACCAAGCTTGCCAACTTTTACCTTGCACGCGTCATGTGTAAATCCCTGTCCAGACTATAAAGTTTTGTGTGACATACCTAAATATGGTCTGAATATGCCTAAATATGGTCTGAATATGCCTAAATATGGTCTGAATATGCCTAAATATGGTCTGAATATGCCTAAATATGGTCTGAATATGCCTAAATATGGTCTGAATATGCCTAAATATGGTCTGAATATGCCTAAATATGGTCTGAATATGCCTAAATATGGTCTGAATATGCCTAAATATGGTCTGAATATGCCTAAATATGGTCTGAATATGCCTAAATATGGTCTGAATATGCCTAAATATGGTCTGAATATGCCTAAATATGGTCTGAATATGCCTAAATATGGTCTGAATATGCCTAAATATGGTCTGAATATGCCTAAATATGGTCTGAATATGCCTAAATATGGTCTGAATATGCCTAAATATGGTCTGAATATGCCTAAATATGGTCTGAATATGCCTAAATATGGTCTGAATATGCCTAAATATGGTCTGACATCCAGTGATGATCAGAACCTCCCTGGTCAGTATACTTACTGAGTAGTTTAGGATAGGCCTAGAATTTACGAATTTTTCGAACTCAACATCAGAAGCTACGGTCAGAATATTGATTCAATAATTGAAATACATTCTATTAAAGTTTATACACATTTAATAAAATTCACCAAAATAATTAAAAATACAATTTTTAAAATGCTGAAGTTGTTAACTATTCACAAGCATGTTGCAATTTGTGGGGATTCCCCATTTAGCCCTTGGCCTTAGGTCTGCATTGCATCGTCGTCGGCGAGTTTAGGCCTTGAAATACCGACAATTCTTGCTGTTTATTGTTCATTATCAACTTTAAAAAAGTTGGAATTAATTTTTGGTGTAATTTAGTGATTTATAATGACCAAAATCTCATTTCTGAAACTGATTCGACATTCACGGTGATCAGATAGTACTCTACCAATCTTTTTTGAAACATAGAAAATGTGACCTGAAAATTATTCGCAGTATAAAACTTCCCGAAATTCGTGATGGTTAAATGCGCGCTAAATATCCTGGTTTTACAATAGTCTACTTTTATTTTTTTTTGTTTTGCTGATTAAAACACTTTATATTAAGAATTGTTTTTTTGATTTAATTAATTACCTTATTCTTTGCATTATGCAAAGAATAACATATTTAATGCAGATAGATCAGTTATTGGCAGCCATTGACAGACAATCTAGGTGACATGTTATTACATCTCATGATTTTTATATCGTGTACGTACATTACATCATATTTGACAGAAATTTGTGTATATTTTTAAATTATAATTTTATCTCTACCCTGTATACGAAAATATAATGTTGAGGATTTTTTTTTAATAATCAACAAAGATATCAACAGCAGACATAAAACAAACAACTTTTTGGAAAATCATAAACATATATAAAACAGCAACCGTAAAAAGAGAATACCCAATGGTTTTGTGAAACTGATGTGATTTAGGCTTTGTTCACACTCAATTTTTGTGTGACATGATATACTGAAGTGCATAAATCACTGATATCTTTACAGAAAATTGATCGTGTGGACACACTTTAATTTGGCATTTGCTAAGTTTTGTGAAACTACTGGGATATAAAGCTTTGTCTACAATATCATAACAAGTTTTATGTGAGAAATTTCAGGGATCTGCCCATACTGATGGGATGACGCATCATCGATATTTCCATATATATGGGCAATATATTTTTCAATGAAAATTGATAGTGTGGACATGCTGTAATTTGCTTATGGGTTTTGTGAAACTGATGGGATATTTAATATAAGCTGTGTGAACACTATTAAGTTTTATGTATCAAATTTCTGTGATCTGTGTATACCATATATGGGTGTGACATGACATCATCATCTCCAGATATAGGCAAATCACAGATATTTCTCACAGAAAATTCAAAGTGTGGACACCTTAATTTGCTGAGTACAGTGAATACTTATGATTATCTCTTGCCAAGGTATTCCAATTAAATCAACAATGGACAATTCAACGACAGTCCAGTACACCGGCCTGCTTCACCAGCTTAATGCAAAAGCTCGCAGTACTGTGCGGGAGATTGACCCACAAAATGACCTGACATTTTTAAGGATTCGGACCAAGAAGCATGAAATAATGGTTGCTCCTGGTAAATATACATTTTTTAATAGATTTTTTTTTTTCTTCTTTTTTTTTTGCATTGTGATGTATTGGAATTAACTGATTACTTCATAAGATAAATAGATATATTTTGAATATAATATGATATTGATACTGCGATACTAAAACCTGGCAACTACATTATGTATGCTATCGTGAACTTGTTTCGGATTCAAACCAAGAAACTTGTAATATTAATAGTCAATCCTAGAAATGAAGACATTTTCTGCACTAAAATATTTTTAATTAATTTTGTTGTTTCATAGGATAAATACTGTAACGTTTGTAATGGTGATAATATATCAATAATAGAAAATATTCTTACTATTTTTGCTGTTGAATTGAAGTTCTCTGTTTTTTTAGAAATGCAATTTACTTATGTGTGTTCCCCAACACTCACCTCTCCCCAATGATACTACACCATTTGATTTGCTTTATAATTAGATAATTTCTCTTTATAGACTGAAAATATATATTGTACTACTACAGTATGAATTCTATATTTAGTCATATTTATTATTAATTTGCAGATAAGGAATACTTCTTGGTTGTTATACAAAATCCGTCTGAAGGATAATTGCCAGACTTGTTACCCCGGGAAACATTGCAAGATCTGCATAAGAATTGTATATAGAACTATATATTAAATTAACAATGAAATAGATTGCAGAAAATTCACAGGGGGATAAAATCAAATAATAAGGCGGTGATCAACTTTGGACTCATTTTTAATAACATCACTGAATATTGTTGAGTCACAAAGTGTATTGCCCTAGATTAACATTGTAGGGGAACTGTTGCAATCTGCTTGAGATACTTTCTGCGAGGGCTGCACTTGTGTCAGCCTTGCTTCAAGTACTACAAGTGTATATTTCAAAGGATTTTTCCTATAAAACTGATAAATATACAGTGTTTACATTTTTTGTAATGTATTTGCATTATAGTTGAAGTTAAAAAATACTGTAGGTTTGTTGTGTATATTGAACAAGTACACTACCCATCATTTTATTCAACATTTCTAGAATATTTGATTGGTAGTGTTATTGCATTTGATGTTTCTTCTTCTTTTTTCCCCTTTTCTATTAATATTTCAGATGTACATTCTTTCAAATTGCACAATTTACACATACCGTATTGCATGTTTAATGTAATTTGTTTTTATTGGCTTGTAAAATCTTCAGAAAAAATAAATTCAACTTTTTGATGGTCATATATATACAGTGCCTGTATGATTTGGTTCTGGTTGTGATGTTCTGATGGTTATGAGAATACAGTAAAGTATACAGGTCTCCCTCCAATTAAAGACCACTTTTGTGACTGAGGTTTCCATGATCTTTAGCAGCTTTGTTCTGTATTTATAATAGGAAAGGCAGAAGACATTTGTTAATTTGGGACCACAGAAAAGTGTTATTTATTGGAAGGGTCTTTAATTAGATGGAGACCAGTATTACATATAATAAACTTTAGTGATAGTGATCTCCCAGCAACAGAGTAAGTTGCATTGCTTACTTACAGTACAGTACAATTGGAAATCTGTTCAATCTTTTTAAAGTTAACTGGAAAATAGATGACAGATTTTGTATAGTGTGTGTTGCTATATTTCAATTAAGTTTTAACAGACCAAATAAATTTAAATTTTTTTGTTATTCATACAGTACATAGGTATATCCTTTGCGACAATAAAAAAAAATATGTCCATACGATTCTCTGTTAAAGAGTTATGATTCTTTAAGTAACATGACCTCCGAAAAAAATGGCCAGCATGCTATATATTCGGTCAAACAGTAAAATAATGGCAATGGGTGCATTAATAACACTACACAAAATTGGTCTTTTATTTTTCAGTTAAGTTTTCACAGGCTAAACAAATTATCATTTTTTTTGTATTCATACAGTACATAGATACATCCTTTGCGAACATTTTAAAGAAAAAATATGTTGATACGACCCTCCGTTAAAGAGTTATGATTTTTTAAGTAACTATGTTATTTCTATTGGTTGCGCTTCCCTGCTCAGCACTGTTTGTCATCGACCAAAGAGGTCTACCGCAGCATGAAAAGGCGTATTAGGCATAATTAAGCCTGACCCTTGGTTACCTGATTGATTTCTGAAAGAAAAAGCTATTTTGAGGTGTGATGGATTTGTAAAAACAACAGTATTTTGCGGTATAAGACCATGCTATTTACAGCATACAGGCAGCGATGTCGGGAACATGTGATTAATCTGCAGCGGTATAACCGAGGATGATTTACGCCACCTACAATTATATATTAATTCTGCTAATCGCCACCAAGCGTAACTTCTCTCCTCTGAAACCGCTGTAAAGTAGCATAATTTGAAACCAACGTTAAAACCAAAAGTAAGAGTCAAACAATTATTTAACCAATCAGAAAATATTTATATAAGATTACATACTTAAGCAACCGCCACTTATTTGTGTGTTTTGCAGAGAGTCGTCACTCTGAAGATAATGTTTGTGTAATGAGCATCGAATTGTAATTGGTTGATAAAATAGAAAATTTCTCGTATCGTATCTACAAACACGATGCTTATTTTCAACTATGATCAGTGGCGTAGAAAAATATTTTTCATTGGGGGGATGATTGGCGTGTTGGCCAGTGTCGTAACAGGCGCGGGGGGAGGGGGAAGGGAAAACTTCCCCTCCCCTGACAGTTTTTACCGGGCTGACCAAGCCCACGTACCGGGCTGGGTAATAAGAGAAAAGAAAGAGGGGAGAGGGAGGGAAAGAGAAAGAAGAGGAAAAGAAAAGGAAAGAAAAATAAAGACAAGAATAAAAAGGAAGATATCATAATGACCAGACTCACAACACCCTGCAACCCCTTCTCCACTTCAAATACTGTCATAACTCCTTTGATCTACGCTGCCCGATGGCGTAACCACTGGGGGACAAGGGGAAAATATCTATCTTTGAAAAATCTTCCCCACCCCTTTATAAATGCCCTTTCATCCCCTGAAAGTGCCTAAAAACTCAAATTTCGTGCGCATTTCTTGTTAACATGGCCCAATTTCCTCTAAAATTTGCACATTTTATGGAGTTTTGATCAATTCCAACGAAATTAGAATTAAAAACACCGGGGGACAAGGAGGATATATCCATCTTTGGGAAATCTTTCTCCACCCCTTGACAAATGCATCCTCTGAAAGTGCCTAAAATTCTCAAATTCTTTGCGCGCATTTCTTGTTACGGTAGGCCAATTTCCTATATAAATAAATTGCACATTTTAGGGAGTTTTCATCAATTCCGACGAAATTAGAATTAAAAACACAAAAATATTTTGTGCGCTTGGCGCGCATTTTTTAGGGCTTTTTTAGTTTTATCCTTTTAAGTTATTTAAACACATAATAGCAAAGAGTATATATAGAACAAGAGAGCCAACAACGCTCATTGAGAGCGTAAAAAAACGATACGCTCTACGCAGCTAGTGTAGGACGCCAACTAACGCTTGTATGTGTTTTATTACCCAGTACTCCACCGCGCACGGTAGGTTTGTCTGTTTATCTGTAAACTGTATAGATATTGAGATACTGTACTTTTGTTTTCTGCTTACTGAGTTTATAGCGGGCGTACTTCTACCGCGCTGCGCAGCGCTGCACTGGGTAATAAAAAGAATATACAACCGTTAGTGGGCGTCCTACACAGGCATGACGTTTTTACGAACGGGAAATAATAGTCCCAAACTCAAGAAAAAATTTAAGATAGATCATTTTAACCTAAAAGAATTGCCTCAATGTGTATAAATGGTGAATGAATATGTTTGTAATAAATAAAACCATGATGGAAATGCTTATACTTAGTTTCAAACACACGTGTGTGGCCTATATTATAAATAAGATAAGCCCTATGTCGTATTG